ACTCCCATTCCACATTCTTCCCATCTTGAACGTGATGGCTGGAGCTGTGGAAGCCATCTTGTGCCCATGAGGCAATATGCAATTGAAAGAAAAAGTAACATGCTCAGGATGACATAAAATTAGACAGAGCCTGTCTCCTTGTGACAGATTGTTCAGAAGGTCCCTGCGTCCAAAACCCTCTAGAACAGGATATGCCACTCCCTCACTGACAGTGGGGTCTACTCGGCTACATCCTTGGAACTAGACTTCCCTCATACTTAGCTTTGAGCAGCAGCAGAACGTGGAGGACAATACATTTTGAGACTCCTGAGAACAGAGCTTAACAAGCCTTGCAGCACTTATTACTCCCTGGGGGAAACACGCCCCCCCACAGAAAGAACTCGGGAAGAGAGCGACCACAGGGGAGGATGTAGCACACAGAGTCCAGACCACGGAAACTTAAGTTTAGATTCGGAGGCTGCTCAGACTGGAGCCTGCTGAGGACAGGCCGTCTGTGACGCGAGAATGGCGGCCTCACCAGCCAGACACGGGTCTGAGCAAGAAGAGGGACCACGTGGAAGCTGCGAGAGTCGGAATTCCCTGAGGCCCAGCAGCGACGTGCAGGCCCTTTGTGCATTTCTCAGCATTTAAACGACATTCCAGAAAAGACAAAACTAACCCACGGGGATAGAAATCAGAACAGCTGCGTTCTGGAGCGGCAGGGAGGACTGACCGCACGAGGACACTCGCGACTTGCTGGAGGGACAGAAACGTTCTACATCTCAGCAGGGACATGGTGGTGACGTGTTATCTACGTGTTCCAAAATCCGGTGAATGTGCACTTAAGATCTGCGCACACGTCACACCTCAATGTCATTGTTACAAACTTGCTGGAGCCAGGGCTTCCTTAACTTTATAACAATGAGGACGACTTCGCCACATGTAAGCGGACACTACATCGGAAATTTTGACGCATGCACCAACACAGTAGATATGAGACTCCAACGCAGGAAGCCAGGGAGAGAGACCCATCTTCCAAAAAGTTAACAAGAAGGAAAAACCAACAAAAATAACCAACAATAAATAAACGGCCAGCCCCGGTGGCTCACACCTATAATCCTAACACTCTGGGAGGCTGAGGAGGGAGGACTGCTTGAGGACAGGAGTT